GCAAACTTGTTCGTTTGCAATCTTGTTGTTACTACTCGAGTATGGATGTGGGTGGATGTGGCATGTTGAAAAGAGTTTGGAATGCTGCGGCTAAATGAGGACCTCCTGGATGTAAATGAATGCGGTTTCCTTACGCAGATGGAGTTCGTGGAGGGGTTGCTCAACATTTGTTTGCTGGACATGCCGGTTTCAACCATGCAAAATTTGAAACTCTTGAAGATTATTCATGACCAATTGGTTCGAGTGGAGCACTTTCTGGATGGCCAGTCTCATCCAGTTGACTGGCAAGATGATGAGGTTGGGATTTAGAGTCTTTAAACCTTAGAGTGATTGCCACTCGGTTTCCATTCGCCCAAGGCGAGCCAAATGGAGAAACCTTGATTTGACACATGTGGATACATCGGTACGTCTCACCCTGAGCTCGAAGGAAATGACGCCTGTGTGTTTTGGAAACTTAACGCACGCCGCATGCATCACAATAGACCTTATATAAATAGTCTATTGAGGCTCTCTCGACAGTGATCCATCCATCAGCATCCAACTTGTAGCCTGATGAGGCCAAGTACAACTTTGATAATTCAAGAAGGACCCTGCCTTGTAATTGTTGTGGTGCAAAGGCAGCCTTCTGCAACCTGCTTTTTGGTGGGGGAGAGTTGGGTAGCCATCTTTGCAGGTGATGAAATGATTCGATCTTTGCAATCTCTCACACGTGGGGTGTTGAAGTTCTGGGCAGCTTGTAGAAGGATACACTCACTATATGGCATGTGACACCTGGCCAAGTTTTGTTGTTTGCTAAAATGCATATTTACGTTTTGTGACCTTATCCGTATGCATCGCAACTTACAACTACTGAGTTCGACTAGGTCGCAGCTGAGCAAGAGCAAGCGCAACCAATCCAACGATCAAGCAATAGCTGTGTCATGGCCAATGATTCAAACCTAGCAGTAGAGCTTGTTTTCCCGGTCCCGAGGGTAGGGATGTCCGACCTAGGGCAAGTGTTTGCTACATAGCACGCTAGCCTTTGTGCCGAGTCGATGGAGAAGCGGGGTCGGGGAGACGTGCTTTTCCGGAACCTCAATCGAGATGACGGGCTGTGGCAGACAGCGCAGTTGAAGACAAAATCGAACACTTCCCAACCGAAGGTGCGGCAAGTGAGAGTGGTGCTGTAAGTTTTTCCGTACAAAAAGTCAACGTTTAAATGTAGAACTGTAGAACTACTATGGCTATCACATACTACCACATTATAATACAAATTGTAATACAAAAAAAAAAACTACTTAGGGCCGTCCCTTGCTGGACGGAAGTGCAAAGCGCAGGCGGTGAAAGGCGAAGAGAAACCGCGCTCGAAACAGCGCTCTGCCGAGGCAAGAAGTTGACCGGACAACTGGGAAGCACAGAACAAGATAAAGCCCTAAGAGCGATGGCCTCCAACCCAGTAGCGACGGCGATCCACCCTAGTAGCAATGGCCTCCGACCTACTAGCGATGGCCTCCAACCTAATGGGAATGGCCTCCAACCTAGTAGCGATGGCCTCCCCCTAGGAACGATGGCCTCCAACAACTTGGAAGAACTTAATCTCATTTTTAGACGTCGAAGAATTACAGCTCTTTATGTTTTCTATTTTGGCTTTTGGCAACCTTTTCTGTAAGCGCCCCAGCCTGTCAGGAGATTCTCGCTGGCTTCCGTAGTGGTTGGACGGAAAAGCTTCAAGAGGAGCCTGTGACATCTGACGCCCAGGCGGTCACGAGGGCCTCAAGTACAGAAGGAAGACTGAAATGGTTACCTGAAAGAACTATAGGAAGAAATAACAAAACCGCTTCTAGGTTGGAGGCCATCGCTAGTAGGTTGGAGGCCATCGCTATTCGGGTCTCCATCGCTCTTAGGGTGGAGGCCATCGCTGGTAGGTCAAAATCTATATAACGTTTAAAGACAAAAAGAGAGATGATAGTAAAGGAGACAAATCGGAGAACCAAATCAACCATGCAGCAGGTTCAAGAAAGTTCCGGAGCTTCGCATCCGGATGCTACCGTAGCTTTAATTTGTGTGGTTTGCTTAACTAATTAGTTCATAGACACGCAACTATGCAAGTCGGTCTTTCTGACATCAGCACAAAAGATAGTTATATAGTTCAAATGTTCTCATTCTGCAGTCGCTTTTTGTCCTTGTATGCTACGAAACTTAACAACTACCACTTAGACATAGACCTAGCTCTCCCATGACTCCTACCTGCTTCTGACCCCACACGAAAACATAAACAGACTTGGGTAACAGACTGTTTGTCTCCCCGAAACTTTTAGGTCTTGGATGTCACATTTGTGTTTCCTTTTCATTTTCTTTGCACTTTCTATTGTTTTATTCCTTTTCGTAATTTAGACATGTCCCTCTTTCTTCAACGTTTCGACTGTAATCGAATTGACTATGCCCGAGCACACCCCTTCAGTTCCTCACAAGCGGTGAAAGAACGACTGCCTCATCAAACTTCGGCAGCGGGATTCTCTTGATATGGCCACCTAATTCTGCAGTGACAAGTTCAGCAGCTCAAGGGGCAAATGCATCTGTGACCCGTTGCTAAGACCTGGGCGGCGCGAAGCACTAGCATGCACTAGCGGAGACACGCTCCCGAAGTGCCTGCAGCACACTCCACGAAACCTCCATGGTTGCTTTGCGAATCCTGATGCTTTTTGCACAAATTCTCAGCACAACTTGCCCTCTTCCCATTGCCGAAAGCCGATCGCCGGCCGTCTCAGAGGCGGACCTCGGTGAACGCACTGAGCGCAGTGAGCGCGCGGCCCGCGCGACCGAGGCGCCCAGCGCGCGCAGTGCGCGCAGCCGGAGCCCGAAGCGAGAGTCCGACGGCCGATCGCCGTCGCGCTCGAGGTGGTCACGGTCCTCCAGTTGAGCGGTTTTTACGTCAGATGATCAAAAACGTATGCGCAAGTAGTCCAATGTGAATAGTTGCGGAGGTAGCACCACCATCAAGCCATATCGGAGAAATGTTTGAAAATGCGTTTGAAGGGTCCGAAACGTCCGGCATGTTCGAAAAGTGCGACGTCAAGACGTTGGAAAAAGGATGACTTGCAAGCCCCAACACGACATGGCTTCGTCGCCCGAGGATGGAAAAGATTTTTTCGTGGCCCGAAAAGCTCCAAGAGTGACATTGTGCAATCTCGCCAGTTTTGCACCTTTTTTTTGACAGAAAGCAGAGACGTCGCGTACCGGGGCCACTACCGGGGCCATGGCGGATCTAACCAGCGCCTTGACAAGACTTGGGGAGGTACAGCAGCAGCAGGCAGCTTCTTTGCAGGGCTTAGAGAGCTTAAGTGAGCAGAAGCTTGGATGCATCAGGGTACACATGGCTCAGGCAAGCCTTTCATACTCATGACGGAGCTCGGTTCTAGTCGTTCTATTTTTGATGTTGCAAATTGGTTCTGAAGATTGCTTTCATAAAAGGGTGGGGCCGGAGGTTGGAGGCCGCTAGTAACGCTAGTAGGTTGGAGGCCATTACCAACTAGTGTTCTCATTCCTTTTAGGTCCCTATGTGACTATGTGACCTTTATTATCTGTTAGGGCGTGCCTGGCCTCGCCGTCGCCGAGGCATCGAGAGTGGCGCAAGGCCGTGGATGACTTGCTGCTCCAAGTGGATGCTGCCCTCAAAGATCTAAAAGAACATCCAAAGACGGTCCCAGCATCTTCGCCTTCAGAGTTCGAGAAGTTGAACGAAGAAGAATCCTTCGAAGATGCATTGAAAGATGTTAGAAGTGCCACAAACGCTGCACCCAAAGATGCCAATCTCAGTGTTCCCAGCCAATCCATCGTTCTCACACAATCAATGATGTCCAGCGCCTCGATGCGAGAGGGTGGCGAGGCTCGCGAGGCTCGCGAAGGGCCTTTGAGAAAGAGTATGAGCTCCAACTCTTTGCTGAGGCCAAGTATGAGCTCCACGGGAAGAAAAGATAAGAAAAGGAACGGGAAAATCGAACAGAAAGAAAAGGCCAAAAGGGCACGGTAGGCTGTCCAACTTCGCATCACGCCCCTCACAGGTCACGCACCACCGTGGCCAATGACTTTCCTCCGGGGCCTTTGCGAAAGGTGGTGGTCGAGGTATTGGCAGATGATACGGAGGCGGGTTAAAAATAGGTCGGATCTGACCGGAAATTAGTACAGTTTGCTGTAGCAATGGCCTCGAACCTACTAGAAATGGCGTCCAACTGAATAGCAAAAGGGACCTAAGAGCGATGGCCTCCACCATCCTCCACCCCAGTAGCGATGGCCTCCAACTGAATAGCAAAAGGAACCGGAGAGCGATGGCCTCCACCCTAGTAGCGATGGCCTCCCCTTGGCCAAATGCACTTTGCTCCTTACAAACTGATCAGGACCTGCCTGCGGCTAATACATGGTGGCAATGGCTCCAACAAAAATGCATCCAGATTGTGCGATCTCGCTGGTTTGAGTTTCTGGCGGGCTTCGTGATTTTGTTGTGGCTTGGTCAGAGGGTATGTCTTGGTGTGTGGCGAGGTGTTCAGAAGCGTACATGTATTCATGCTGTTGCTGCTTGTCTGAGGAATTTGATCACGATTGGAATCGAAGCACATGTCTCCGTTACGGAGGGGACAGTCTATAACTCCGATTTTTGGCCGGGAGGAGATCCAAGGTTGTGGTTTGTCGTGACGCTGCCTGTTGCCTAGTGACGCGATGTGACATGCATTGATGGTCTCCAACCTACTAACAAAAGGAACCTACTTGCGATGGACTCCAACCGAGCAACTGGAACCTATGTATTTTTTTTTCATGCTTCGAGTCTTTGATCCATCTTTCTTTTCTCCCTCATGAGTTGGGAGAAGACTTTGCTTTCAACCTGCAGCTTTGCTGCTTCAGGGCCATCCCGCCTTTCTACGGGATGTTTCTCCTTTTGTGAATAAGTTGCCCAATGTGGATGACCACTTGGCACTGCATATCCGTGGATTCATCGGTTGTGCATATCCGGCGTGTCCTCCGTGGCAGGAGTTGAGCGTATTTTCTTGTCTCTCTACTGCATCGAGGCCATCATACGAGTTTTGGCAGGCGGGTGGTCAACCTTCAAAGATTGGTGGTTCCTGATCCTTGGCTGCACTAGGCGCTAGCCATGCTGTGCATTTTGCTGAACATCAAGCCCATTTGTTGCTTTACGTTGCCGGGAGACGGGCATGCCATCGTAGATCAGGTTGGATCTTGTCTTGATCATCGTGGGATTGCTGGCTTTGTTGGTGATCCCGATCATGAACGCTGAGTCTGATATGTCAGGCTCTGAGAAGCTCTTGGTGGTCCGCGGGCTGCGGCTCTTCCGATTGATGAGGGCTTTGCGGATGCTAAGTCACTTCAAGATAGTGTGGCGATTGGTTTATGGTCTTCTTACTGCCGTGCAGACCATCATTTCGATGACCATGCTGATCGCCGTGTCCCTTTTCATTTTTGCATGTGTGGTGCCTGGCTCCCAAGTTGGACATATTTTTGATCTTTTTTGTACCCCAAAGTTCGTTCCACTTGCTTCTCAATACATTTGGTGTCATAATGTGTCATATTGAATTGAGCTAGTAAGAAGTGCAAGCATGTATGCCCTTCCCCCAGGCAACTGCGAGCTTTAAGGGTCAAACTTGTGTCCTAACCTAGCACGGCAGCACGTCTCCGTGGACTTTGGCGTGTTGAACATTTGCTCCGTTTGGGGCGTTGTTTCAATGTGTTCCCAAACAGTGGTGACACTGGGGTGTTCACCGATGCGGACGGCTATTTCACTGCCAGTTGCTGCGGCTATTTCGAGACATTCCCCTCGAGATCGAAGGTGGTCAGCGGTGCTGTGGTGCCATGCGCATTTGACGTGGCTGTGAATACGTGCGCTCTCATGTGCTCTCAGCTGCGTGCTGTCATGCGTGTGCTTTTTCACATGTTTGCCATTGCTAGTGTAGTTTTGCGCTCTCATGTGTGTACTCTGAAGCGCGGAAGTTCGTTTATTCAGGGTGGAAGCCATTGCTGTTTGTTTTTGAAATACGTTGACCAAGCACGTGGAGGCCATAGAGCTCATTGCGAAGGATCATCAGTTGCAACAAGACGAGACAACCCGAGACATTCTCTCTGGAAATTTTGCCGGGTTACCAAGCACATTGCTCACTTTGCTACAGTTCGTCACCTTGGATGATGTTGCCGACGTGTACTTCCCTTTGATTATGGCGAAACCGTACCTTTGCGCCTTCTTCTTTCCAATTCTCATGTTCATATCCGTGGGACTGATGAATCTTGTAACAGCCAGCTTGGTGGAAAATGCAATGCAGACTGCAGCACTTGAAGCAGAAGAAGAACGGCTTAAGCTCAAGAAGAAGGTCAAAAATGCTGAAGCCTCAGTTGTTCAGGCAAGCACATCCAGAAGAAAACATCAATGCCGTGTGAGAGATGCAAGCTTTGTGGTGAGTTGTGCAGTTCCACATTCAATTATATATATATATATTTATATATATTATATAGTGATATTCATTTCCCAGTTTTGCCCAGCACTAAGGCTTTGCCATCTTTGATTGAGATTTTCCACCAGCTTGATGCCGATCATAGCGGGCTCATCACCCATGACGAAGTAGAGAATGTACCGGTAAGCATTTTGCCTCCAAGGGTATTGGATTCGATTTGCGTGGAGAACATGGCAGACATTTTTGATTACCTGGACGTGGATGGCACTGGAGAACTTACACAGATGCTCGGCAAACTCGGGAGGGTGAGCCATGGCGATAGGCTCAGGTTCTTGGGAGTTCTTGCTTCTAATAGCTTCTTGTTACTACTAGTAAGGCACTTGTTACTAGAAGCG